TGGGAGGCCAAGGTAGACAGATAGGAGTTCAGACAAGCCTGGTCAACCTATCTCTACTAAAACTTAAAAAAAAAAAAAAAAAAAAAAAGTGCCAGTCATGGTGGTATGTGCCTATAATCCCAGCTACTCAGGAGGCTGAAGTATAAGATTCACTCAAACCCAGGAGGTGGAGGTTGCAGTGAGCAACCACCACTCTCCAGACTGGGTGACAGAGCAAGACTCCATCTCAAAAAAAAAAAAAGAAGGACAAGCTTTTCATTCAATCTGGGCCCAGCTGATGTTCCTAGTAATCAGATTCAGGTCATGCATTCTTAATAAGAATATTCAGAAATGATGCTGTGTATATTATATTTATCCTTCCCATCCCCAGGAATGTTAACCTTCATCACCTGGTCAACCTGGTGTCTGCCAGGTTTCTTCACTGTAAAGTAACTATGTTTTCCTTTGTATTTGACTTATATATTACGAGGAATTATTGCAATAATTCACCAATACCCTGTTCCTCATCAAATGTCCACCAACCAGCCTTAGCATTCACTGACTACTCTTGCCATTATCAAACACCACAAACGTGGTGATTATCTAATTCCATCATTCTTTCTACATCTGTAGTTGGCATTTTAATAAAGAGCCTACCCTGTTCTCCCAAATTCATTTATTCATTTATATATGTATGGCCTCATGGATTCTTATTTTATTCTATAAATTATAATCCCCTACTCTATTTTGTTGCTCAAATTATGTGAAATTTAGCCAGTGTGAGTCCCTTCAAAGTAATTTTTATATCTTTTGACACATCCTCATAATTTTAAGTACTTCCTTACTTTCTGGCACAACTAAATTCTGTAGGCCCATTTTATACTTTCCCTCTATGGTCCCATAGTATTTCTCCAAGGAGCCTTGGTCCCTCTTAATCAATGATAATATTTAGAAATGAAAAGCTGGGCACTAGGTGCGCTCACTGTTACTGAGGTTTGACTGCAATTAAGTGCTCCCAGCAGAGAGAGCTAAAGAATATATAAATATATAAACATACACATATAATATACCTGAATCATTTTCTTTTTTGAGACAGAGTCTCACTCTGTCACCCAGGTTAGAATACAGTAGTGTGATAATGGCTCACTGTGGCCTCTGCCTCCTGGACTGAAGCAATCCTCCAGTCTCAGCCTCCTGAGTAACCGGGACTACAAGCACCTCCCATCATGCCCAGTTAATTTCGTTGTTGTTAAGATGACACCTCACTATATTGCCCAAACTGGTCTCAAACCGGCCTCAAGCAATGCTCCCACCTAAGATTCCCAAAGTGCTAGGATTATAGGTGTGAGCCACCACACCTGGCCTAACACCCTTTAAAGGTCTGAACAGAATAGATTTGCCACCTATTGTCTCTAAGGGAGGCCACTGCATCTATGTAATAAGAATTGCAGTGTCCACAACCCTTTATCTTAACCCAGATACTCCTTTATACTGACTCCAGGTTTTTAGATAACTCTTCCAACAAATTGCCAATTAGAAAATCTTTGGGGCCAGGCGCAGTGGCTCACACCTGTAATCCTAGCACTTTGGGAGGCCAAGGTGGGTAGATCATGAGGTCGGGAGTTCAAGACCAGCCTGATCAAGATGGTGAAACCCCATTGCTACTGAAAATACAAAGATTAAACGGGCATGGTGCATGGTGTGGGGTGCCTGTAATCCCAGCTACTCAGGAGGCTTAGGTAGAGAACTGCTTGAACCTGAGAGGTGGAGGCTGCAGTGAGCCAAGACTGTGCCAATATACTCCAGCCTGGACAACAGAGTGAGATTCCATCTCATAAAAAAAGAAAATATTTGAATCTACCTATCAGCTGTAAGCCTCCCATCTTTCCAGGCTGAACCAATGTATACATCTCACATTTATTGATTGATGTCATATGTCTTCCTAAAATGTATACAACGAAGCTATAACTCAACCACCTTGGGTACATATTCTCAGGACCTCTTGAGACTGTGTCTTCGTCCATGGCAACTCATATTTGGCTCAAAATATAAATCTCTTCCAATATTTTACAGAGTTTGACTCTTTTTGTCAACAAGTATCTATAATCCTTTTCAACATGCTACCATATAAAAATAATTTGTGGCCAGGCACAGTAGCTCACACCTGAAATCCCAAAACTTTGAAAGGTCAATGCAGGAGGACTGCTTGAGGCCAGGAGTGCCAGACCAGCCTGGGTAACGTAATGAGACCTCATCTCTACAAAAAATTAAAACTAAAAACTAGTTAAGTCAGGCATGGTGGCTCACACCAGTAATTCCAGCACTTTGGGAGGCCAAGGTGGGTGGATCACCTGAGGTCAGGAGTGTGAGACCAGCCTGACCAACATGGTGAAACCCCATCTCTACTAAAAATACAAAATTAGCTGGGCATGGTAGCACATGCCTGTAATCCCAGCTGATCTGGAAGGCTGAGGCAGGAGAATCACTTAAACCTGGGAGGTGGAGGTTGCAGTGAGCCAAGATTGTGCCACTGCACTCTGGCCTGGGCAACAAGAGCAAAACTCTGTCTCAAAAAAAAAAAAAAAAAATTAGTTAGGCATGGTGGTATGCACCAGTAGTCCCAGCTACTCAGTGGGGGTGAGGCAGGAGGATCGCTTGAGCCCAAGAGGTCAAACCTGCAGTAAGCTGGGGTCACGCCACAGCCTGGGCAAAAGAGCAAGACCCCCTCTCTCTCTCTCTCTCTCTCTCTCTCTCTCTCTCTCTATCACACACACACACAGCCATAAGGCCACACTGGTACTAAAAGGCACAAAAGAAAAAACAACTGAAATTCAAATATGAGCAGATCTACAATTAAGATGGTGTATTAGTTTTGTAATACACCATCACTTATTAGGTTAAGTTCCCAAGAAAAGCTAGTTAGCTACTTCTAAACTATATTCAGAACAGGGTGGAAAATCATTTAAGATGTAATTCAATCTTGTAATAATCCTTAATTGACATACTATACTCAAATGAGTGTTTTTACATTTTTATCATTTTATTTGAGGCAGGGTCTCATTGCCAGGCTGTTCTCAAACTCCTGACCTCAAGAGATCCTCCCGCCTCAGCCCCGCAAAGCACGGAGATTACAAGCAAGAGCCACCATGCCTAGCTTCAGTTTTCTTTACACTATCTCATCCACTCCAACCTGGGATATTTATAGACTCCCAAGGTTAAAGTGTGCATTAAAGGTCATCTAACTGAACTACTAATTCAAGACGTTTCTTACTTCAAGTCTGGTCTGTGAACCAACAACATAGGCATCATCTATCTAGGAGCTCATTAGAAATGTAGAATCTCAGCCTCCACCCTCAGACTCACTGAATCAGAAACCATTTTTAAAAAGATCCCTAGGCAATTCATGGGCACATTAGAGTTTGAAAAGCATTATAGAACATATTCAAGATGTGGTCACTGGGCCACCTGACTGCCACCATCATGAGTCACATGCTTCTGGGAAGGGCCTGTCTCAGTCGGCTCTGCCCTGTCACTGCAAGGTTCCCACTTGGCTGAAGTTGGCATCTGATGACATGAGGAGCAGATTTACAAACTGACCAAGAAGGATCTGCCTGTCTCACAAATCAGTGCAATCCTGAGGCTCATACGGTGTTGCACAAGTATGTTTTGTGATAGGCAATACAATCTTAAGAATCCTTAAGTTCAAAGGACTTGCTCCTGATCTCCCTGAGGATCTCTACTGTTTAATTAAGCAAGCAGTTGCTGTTCCAAAGCATCTTGGGAGCAACAGAAAGGATAAGGATGCTAAATTCCATCTGATTCTGACAGGCAAATTCACTGACTGGCTCAATGTTATTGATACAAGACCAAGCAAATCCTTCCTCCCAATTGAAAATATGAGTCATCCACAGCTTCTGCCCTGGTTGCATAAATTTGACAATGTACTCAAGTAATAAAATGATTGTTTATTGGGGCGGGGGGAAGTAGTCACTGAGAAAGCAACATCATGTGTCTTATGCCAGGGTATATCTGTGATACAGAAACTAGTACCTACGAACTACTAAACCAATTTAAATAGCCCAGGCCAGCATTACTCCTTCTAATTAAATTTGATCACTTACCTTCAAGACTATCTCAAGAACTCATTTTTTTTAAGTGAAAGCTCCCTGAAGAATCTACCCTAAATTAAGCTTATCTCCCTCATACTAGTTGCAACCCTACTATATAGTTGGGCACTTGATTATTTCAACTTAGCATTATATATTTATCATCTTTAAAGTGCCATGTCCACGTCTTGGAATTCCAGTAAGATTTCAAGCTCCTGAATTATAAAAACATGCCCATTTTTTTAAAACTCCACAACACGGAAAAACAACAAACAAAATTTCTAGAAATGTGTTCATAATTTTTTTTTTTTTTTTTTTGAGATGAAGTCTTGCTCTGTTACCAGGATCGAGTGCTATGGCACGGTCTCGGCTCACAGCAACCTCCGCCTCCCAGGTTCAAGCGATTCTCCTGCCACAGCCTCCTGAGTATCCGGGACTACAGGGGCACGCCACCAGACCCAGTTAATTTTTGCATTTTTAGTAGAGATAGGGTTTCACCATATTGGCCAGGCTGGTCTCAAACTCCTGACCTCATGACCTGCCAGCCTTGGCCTTCCAAAGTGCTGGGATTACAGACATTAGCCACCATGCCCAGCCACAAATTATTAATAGAAATTATTAGGGGTGGGCTGGGCGTGGTGGCTTATGCTTGTAATACCAGAACTTCGGGAGGCTGAGGTGGGTGGATCATGAGGTCAAGAGTTTGAGGCCAGTGTGGCCAACAGAGTGAAACCCCATCTCTACAAAAAATACAAAAATTAGCCAGTTGTGGTGGCAGGCACCTGTAAACCCAGCTACTTGGGAGGCTGAGGCAGGAGAATCATTTGAACCTGGGAGGCAGAGGTTGTAGTGAGCCGAGACCACACCATTGCACTCCAGCCTGGGCCACAGAGTGAGACTCCATCTCAAAAATTAAAAAAAGAAAAAGAAATCGTTAGGGGCAAGAAAGGAGGGCTCATGGTCAATTAAGTTTGGGAAACAATGAGGTCCAAGGCTTTTTGTTGCAAAACTTCTAAGAGTATTATGATAACATGCAAAGTAAATCTCTACGGATGGAATAAAGTATATAACATTTCACAAACTTATTTGATCAAGCTCTCTTTTATCATGGAACATCTGCAGGTACTAGTTTACCAAACATACTCTGGAAATAAGCACTATGTGCTATTGAATTAAAGACAAAAAAATAGTAAAATATTTGAAGTTTGGCAATTTTTAAAATAATCTGAGTATACTGCATATCAATTTAAGTGAGTTTTGCATATTTATTTATTGGTCATTCACATATTCTTATTGGCTTTCTTCAATTCCACTCAGAAGTATTTCTCAAACTGTTGTTTACATACTACCTAAATCAAAAATCACCTGGCTTACTCATTAAAAAATACAACCTGCTGGACTAGAATCTCTGGAGGTGAAACATTTTTAATGAGGGCTTCCAAATGATTCTTAGTACACAAAAGTCTGAGGACCTCTGGCGTGTAACATACTTCAAGTATAATACAAAGCACATCATCCTAACTGCTGCAATGTACTGGCATATTTATCTTTTTGTCACGGGAGGGTTTCAATCTTGATTTGGCTCTATGACAGTGACCTCAGGATAAAGAGCATTACCAAAGACTCCTTCCCTCCAAAGAAATCTAGGGATTTAAGTAAAGCAAGCAACCATGATGTAAACAGCTACAAAATAATTACTTCACCATTTAATTAACTTCAAGCTTTGGGAAAGCTTCTACCTACAAACCTGATACTAATAATTCACCCTTAATAGGACAGTCATAATGCTCAACCTTAACTTTTTCATCTTCAAAGCATTTTACTAGCTAATGATAACCTAACCCTTTGAGGGAAGGCGTTACCAGTTTCATGACAAAGATATTTAAGAGATTATGCAATCTACCCACAGCCATTTAGCAATCTGTGTCAGAGTGATTATAATCCACGAGTAAGAAAAGTATCCCACGCATAAAGGAAATAATTTCAATTAACTAACATTTATTGAGGACCTACTGTGTACATAAGACATGGAAAGCAGTTGTTAAAAAAAAAAAAAAAACTATTACAGTAATACCTAATTCTCTGAAAGCAAAAAACAAACTATAACTGCTAGCTAGCAGAGACGAAGGAAGACATCATAAATGATGTGGACTTTAAAGGATGTTTTTGGCCAGGCATAGTGGCTCACACCTGTAATCTCAAAACTGGGAGGCTGAGGTGGGCGGATTGTTTGAGCTCAGGACTCGAGCCCAACCTGTGTAAAATGGCAAGACCCTGTCTCTGTAAAAAAATAGAAAAATTGGCAGGTGTGCTAATGCACACCTGCAGTCCCAGCTACTTGGGAAGCTTAAGTTGGAGAAACACCTGAGCCCTGGCAGTTGAGGCTACAGTGAGCCATAATTGCACCACTGCACTCCAGTCTGGGCAACAGAGCAAGACCCTGTCTCAAAAATAAGTCAGCAAATAAATAAATAAATGTTTTCAAGTTTTTTTTTTTTTTTTTTTCTTATTTAGTAATAGTAACCTATGTTTTCAAGTTTTCTATAGAAATGGGAATATGTGGCCAGGCATGGTGGCTAACACCTGTAATCCAAGCACTTTGGGAGGCCAAGGCGGGCAGATCACAAGGTCAGGAGTTCAAGACCAGCCTGACCAACATGGTGAAACCCCATCTCTACTAAAAATACAAAAATTAGCCCGTCATGGAGATATCACACCTGTAATCCCAACTACTCAGGAAGCTGAGGCAGGAGAATAGCTTGAACCCAGGAGGCAGATGTTGCATCGGGCCGAGATCACACCACTATACTCCAGCCTGGGCAACAGAGCAAGAGACTCCACCTCAAAAAAAAAAAAAAAAAAAGAAATGGGAATATATATCCTAACAACTTAATAATGGAGCACATAAAATAGCAGAAAACAATCCAAGGATGAGATAACTTCCAAGAGAAGTATAATAATAATAATGTAAAATCCTACAGAAATTAAATAATGAAAAGATAGTCGTCCCCACTTAAAAAAATTTGTCTAAATTCCAACTTCTTTAAATAATTTTTTTCAATTTATAAAAAGCATTTTCTCCTTGACTTTTACAGTCCCTTAAACCATACTCATCAGCTACTATAAATAGTGACTATTATTCTGTCATAAATCTTATAAACTGAGGCAAAGAACTTGAGAATAACTAGAAATGAATATATGCTGCTCTGGCTCTCAAGGAAGCCTTCATGCCCACATCCAAGTTTGTCAGAAATCTAAAAGCTGGATTTTAATCTAAAGACAAAAAGAATGGATCCAAGCATAGCATTTAAGAATGAGATGCATGGAAATAAGTGAATTAGCAGACCGCTAGATTAAATAAAAACTTGATGATGCCTCATTTAGAATTGGAAGAATCAGAAAGAATAAATTTAGTCCAGAAAACAAAATAACTAGATTAGTGATATCAAAATAAATACAATAAAGGCAGGTATAAAAAGTGACAAGTGGCGGTGGTGGTGGTGGAGCCAGGGAACAGGTGATGAAGGCAGAAGTGTAATGCTGAATTAAAATTGAAAAGTTAGGTTTGGAATTATAGCCAGAAATCTAAGGAGAGGTCTATCAGGCTATGGAAAATACACTTCTGAGGTGAAGTGAGTTAAGGAGCAGAGACAGGTATGAAACATGGTCATAAAAGAAAATGATCATAGGTAATGTACAGAATATAAAAATGGAAGGGCAGAAATCAAAACCTTAAAAAAATGCCTACATTAATGGGGATAAGCACAAGAGATGTCATAAAAATCAGAGACAAATACAGTATCTCACTAAAACAAGGGGAGTTAAACTTTGCTCCAAAAAGACTTAACAGAAGAAAGCTGACAAACTCGAGGATTTGTAAGTAAGAGATCATTGTAACTTATGATCAGGCAATGTCTGTGAAATGTGCAGTAGAAACCACTAGGTGAAGGCCGGGCGCGGTGGCTCAAGCCTGTAATCCCGGCACTTTGGGAGGCCGAGGCGGGTGGATCACGAGGTCAAGAGATCGAGACCATCCTGGTCAACATGGTGAAACCCCATCTCTACTAAAAACACAAAAAATTAGCTGGGCATGGTAGTGCGTGCCTGTAATCCCAGCTACTCAGGAGGCTGAGGCAGGAGAATTGCCCGAACCCAGGAGGCGGAGGTTGTGGTGAGCCGAGATTGCGCCATTGCACTCCAGCCTGGGTAACATGAGTGAAACTCCGTCTCAAAAAAAAAAAAAAAAGAAAAAGAAAAAGAAACCACTAGGTGAATAACGGAGCAAGTGGGGAGCAAATACTGGTAATGACTACAGAGCTAGTCTTACAAAAATGTCAGAATTTAAAAAAAAAGAATAGTTTAGAGTTGGAGGAAAGGTTGTTTGGTTGTTTAAGAAAAGGCAACCCGGCTTCTTATAGAAAAGGGAACCATAAGAGAGAATAAAACAAACTATTTAAAAAGTAAATGATGAGAGAAAAAGCCTCAAAGAGACAAGAAAGAAAAAACAGAATGGGAACATTTTCCCCCAAGTTAGATCAGAAAGTGTATGGGTGCAATCAATCTTTTCCAATTTCCTTATAGGACAGTCTTTTTGTATACTTTTTTAAAACAAGTATTCCTGTTTTCACAAGGAAGCTTAGAAGAGCAGTCAGTTTCTTTTTCTTTCATTTATAAAAAGAATGCACAGAGGCAGTGGTTACCATGGCTGCAGAAAACAAAACTCTGCACTGCTATTTATTTATTTAGGGCCAACACTATTCTACAAGGTCCTGAAATGGCAGGCATACAAAATGTTCTAAATTTTCCTCAAATATCCCAAGAACAAGGGCTTACTAGTTTAGTATTTCTAAGCAATCAACATGAAAGAATACAGAAAGAGAAAAAATACATAGAAGCAACCAGTTAGTTTAAGAGAAAGATTAAAAAATAGTTTATAATAATTTAAAATACACTTTTCTACCAGATAAAAATCTCTAAAAGGTAGTTTCTAAAAATCTGAAAATATTACATTACTTAAAATAAGAAAGAGATAATGTAGGTACTGGAAAATGCCACATGCTCAGGCATGGTGGCTCACATCTATAATCCCAGCACTTTAGGAGGCTGAAGTGAAAGGATCACTTGAGCCGGGCGCGGTGGCTCAAGCCTGCAATCCCAACACTTTGGGAGGCCGAGGCGGGTGGATCACGAGGTCAAGAGATCGAGACCATCCTGGTCAACATGGTGAAACCCCGTCTCTACTAAAAATACAAAAAATTAGCTGGGCATGGTGGTGCATGCCTGTAATCCCAGCTACTCAGGAGGCTGAGGCAAGAGAATTGCCTGAACCCAGGAGGCAGAGGTTGCGGTGAGCCGAGATTGCGCCATTGCACTCCAGCCTGGGTAACATGAGTGAAACTCCGTCTCAAAAAAAAAAAAAAAGGATCACTTGAGCCCACGAGTTCAAGAACAGCCTGAGCAACAAAGTAAGACTCAAAGACTTGTCTCTACAAAAAATTTAAAAATTAGCCATGTGTAGTGGCACATGCCAGTAATCCCAGCTACTTAGGAGGCTCAGGTGGGTGCATCGCTTGAGCCACCAGGAGGTCCAAGCTGCAGTGAGTTATGATTACGCCATTGTACTCAGCTTGGGTGAAAGAGTGAGACTCTGATTCAAAAAAGAAAAACAAAAGAAAAATGCTACAGACTTTGAAGTTGTCCAGATAGGACTAATCTTACATTGTAGCACTATAACTCAGAAACTATTAACCTCACGAGATTGTTGAGGTAGTATAAGCAACAAATTTTACTGCTACTGCCTCACAGTAGATACAATCGCAAGTAAGAATACTTGTTTGGCTTTATAGAATTAATGTAACTTTATAAGCTTATTAATTATTTTCAATGATTCATTCCTTCCACAATATTTATTAAGCGTCTATTTTTGTGTTAGATACTAAAGATTCTTAGCACTAAGGCAGTCCCTGTCTTTCATGGAAGTTAAAATTTAATTCCTTAAATTAGCCAACAAAGATATGAAAATAGTGCTGATAGTATTGGAGAATGGGAGCACAAATTGGTTTAGCATCTGTGTAAGGCAATTTGACAAAACCTATGAAAATTTAAAATACACATTATCATTTGACCCAGTAATTCCACTTAATCTAAAAGACAAAGGTCAGCTGGGCATGGTGGCTCATGCCTATAATCCCAGCACTTTGGGAGGCTGAGGCAGGCAGATCACTTGAGGTCAGGAGTTCAAGACCATCCTGGCCAACATGGTGAAACCCTGTCGCTACTAAAAATACAAAAAAAAAAAAAAATTAGCCAGACATGATGGTGGGTGCCTGTAATCCCAGCTACTTGGGAGGCTGAGGAAGGAGAAGCACTTGAACCTGGGAGGCAGAGGTTGCAACGAGCCGAGATCATGCCACTGCACTCCAGCCTGGGCAACAGAGGGAGACTCAGTCTTAAAAAAAAAAAAAAAAAAAAAAAAAACGGTATTTCTGCTACACTTTTTATAAATATGGAGAAAGCCTGTGTGCCAACAGGGAAAGGTTAAACAAGTGGCAGTATAATGATATAAAGAAATATTAGAAAGGCTCCCGGTCAACAGTGTAAGGAAAAAAAAGAAATGTTAGAAAGCCATCAAGAACAATGAGATGAGCCAGGTGTAGTGGTTCACACCTGCAATCCCAGCACTTTGGGAGGCCAAGGCATGCCTGTAGTCCCAGCTACTCAGAGGCTGAGGTGAGAGATCACTTGAGTCTAGGAGGTCAAAGCTGCAGTGAGCCATGACTACACCACTGCACTCCAGCCTGGGTGACAAAGTGAGACACTGTCTCCAAAACAAAAACAAAAAGATACATATATACATATATATTATACACACACACACACAAACACCGCACATGTACCTATGGGTTGTTTATTTGCGTATACGTGTGTGTCACACATATACACACATATAAACCCATAGGTACATGTGCAATGGTCGGGGGGATTACGGCAGCTTTAACAGTGGTTATCCCTTGGAAGAACAAACTGGAGAAATTAGGAGGGTAGAAAGAAACCCTTTTTTTCTGTGTACATCCATATTATTTGAAATATTTATTTCATCATAACGTGTGGAAAACAAAATAAAAAATATTTCATACTTTTTAATAAGAATAAAATATTTTTCCAAAGAGCTGAGGTTATGAGTCTTGCGTAAGTTTGTTTTTTTGTTTTTTGGGTGGTTTTTCTGGTTTTGTTTTGGTTTTTGGTTTTTTTTTTTTTTTTAGATGGAGTCTCGCCTTATCACCCAGGCTGGAGTGCAGTGGTGCAATCTTGACTCACCGCAATCTCCCCCTCCCAGGTTCAAGAGATTCTCCTGCCTCACCCTTCCAAGTA